GGGTAGTTTCTGGCACATTCCTCATGGCTCATCATTTCTCACCACCTTCAACAGAGCCATGGCCCCTGGTTCGGACCATTGGATCCTATCTTTTGTTTCTTGCCTTGAGTCATTTTCAAATTAAGAGTCAGGGGACTGGAGGATTTGGAGGTGCCCTCTTGAGACACATCTGTCCCACTCCCTCCAGTCTTCCCAGGCCACCAGGTTCTCAATCTCAGCTGAATTCTACTTCTTCCCATTGTCTCCTCCTCCTCCTCCTCCTCCTCCTCGCAGCCTTCTCCGATCATCTTAACCAAAACACCACACCTCTATCACTCCCTATCCTCTTACCATCCAGGGTATTTCATTATATAACCCACAACTCTCTCATGTTTCATGTTCTATGTTTATCTATTTTCCCCCACCTGGCATGCAACTCTATAAGGACAGGGACTCATCCCGTCCAGCATGTGGGGCCTGTCAGATCCTCACAAGGAAGCGTTTGCGTTTTAATGACTGTAAGTGGAATTCGTCTTTCTTATTCGCCTTTGAGCAATAGGTTTGAGTGGGGAAACGTGGGCACCTCCTCCAGCCAGGAGCTATATGCTTGCATCTCGTTTAATCTTCACAATGGCTTTTGGAAGGAAGGAAGGAGTCATTTATTCCCTCTTTCACTCATCCACATGATCATCCGACAAATACATATTGAGCACCCTGAGCGCCAGGAATGCCCAATGAAAAAAAATAGATATAACATGAGCCTTTATGGAGCTTCAAAGTCTATCCGTTCGTTTTCCTCAAATGAGGAAAGTGAGGCTGAGAGCCTGGGCCAGTATTCTTGGGTTCAAGAGGGAAAAGGGGCTGAGAAATCTGCTTTCTTGGGCCACTGTAAATCCTTTGTATCCCAGGTCTATTAATGAGATATAAAACCCTGTACAACAAAGATCTCATAGCACTTTACTCTCCACCATAAAAGAGGGATTCATCCATCCATCCATCCATATTTTTGAGCCCTGCTTAACAATGTGTTGCCATGCTTTCTCCCACCGCTCCTATTCATATTCTGGCCTTCAAAGTTCCTAACATGGACCACTTGTGAATTGCAACCCCACAGTCACAGTCCCTTCCTTATCTCCTTTCAGAGGTAAAGTTTTGCCAACGGCTTGGGGTCCACTGGGACAACCAGCTCCTCCTTCACGCCAACTACCTTGGGGGCTGGTAATAGTGCCCCAGCCTGAGACGGTGCACTTCTGGCCATCTCGAGGGCAGTGATCTGTCAGGTTGATGGGCTTCACACTGGGCCCTGTGGATGCTGGTTCGCGTAGTCGAAGGAGCATCAGGTCGTGGTTGTGGTCCTCACTGTCGCCACTGAAGCAGGGATGTGGGATGGACTGGGCCACAGCCCTTTCCTGCCCTGACCCACTCTTATTCTGCAGGCTGTGCTCTCCCAAGCGGACCGTGTACCTCCTGTAATGATGGGGATTAGTTTGGGATGCAGCCCCGTCATTACAGTCCCCTCCGAACCAGGCGTCCAGGCTCCCTGCTCCCTCTTCTCTCAGACCTCTTCCCTTAGAGGCCTGGCACCCAGCTCTCTCTTTCCCAAGGTAAAACCCAGCCCCCTCTTTCACCAGGCCCAACCCACCTCTGCCCCAGGCACCCACTCACGGTTTTTTACAATGGGCTGCCGTGAGGACCCAGTTGTCATCTATGAGGACACCCCCGCATAGCAGCTGGTTTCCCTGGAACAAGGCTGTCTGCCAAGGCTGCGAATTGGACTTGCACGGCTGGCCCCCCAGCACCTTGTTCTCCTGTGCCCTCCAGTGCCCTGCAGCAGGAGGGAGAGGTTGCATCGCCACCCCTGGGGCAGCGGAGGGGGGGGATGAGGGTGGAGGAGGGCAGGAAAACCAGTGGGTTCAAAGGGACACACCCCAGGTTCTCTGCCTGCCTCCCTCCTGTGTTCACACACCCTCATGTGTGGGGCTCCCGGCTGGCACATGCCGCCACACACATTCACAGGTATACTCGCTGAACTCCGTGAGTCATCACACAGAGTCACACACCCAAGCATGCTCCCACATGCTCCTACACTCCCATGTGTGTCTTCTGCCCTCGGCAAGCAGCCCCCAAGCTAGGTGTGCTCATGCAAATTTACACCATCCCCTGACACTCTCCTACCTGCTGTCCCCAGAGCCATGCCTCCACCCGCCCCCACCAACGCCAGCCCCAGAACCCCCACATGCGATCACACACCTCACACCTCCCTCACCCACCACAGGCACCCACACAGCCACCACGGCGAGCACACAGGCTCACACTCACCCCCGGTGCCGGCCGGCCCTCCTCACCTGCACAGGCTTCCAGCAGCAAGAGCAGGAAGATCCAGGTGCACATGGCAGCAGGCGGTGGGCGTCCCATGCTGAGGCCTGGGGGAGGGAGAGCCTGGGCTGAGAGAGGAGGAGGGGGGAGCCTGAAATCCTAGTAGGTTCGTGGGATTGGGGGTCCAGGGGAGCAGAGCATCCAGAGCTGTTCTTCTGGGTCCTGTGGGAGGAAGGGGCTGGGACCCAGAACCTGGGTCTTAGAAGGGGGTGGGGCCCCCGATTCCTGAATCTGAGGAGAGAGGGGGCTGCGGGTCTGGGTTTTTAGGTTCCCAGGGAGAAGGGAGTTAGTATCCCGGACTCCTCCTGAATCTTGGGGAAGAGGAGGCTGGGGCTCAGATTCCCGGGGCTGGAAGGAGGAGGGGCTCTCTGGTTAAAGTCCTGGGCCTGAAGGAGGAGGGGCCCGGGTCCAGGTGCCAGGCTCTGAGAGGCCAGGGGGCGGGGCCACCTACTGATTCTGACCCAGAGGAAGGGGCCCCAGGAGCTCACTCTGCCTGGTCCAGGGACCTGGAGCCTTTTAACTGGGACTCCCCGCCTCCTGCTCCGCCTCCTCCCGCCCTGAGCTGACAGAGCAGCCTGGGCTGGAGTGAGGAGGGGCTGCGGGGCTGAGGGGCTGAAGGGAAATTCTGGAGGGAGGAGGGGCTGGATTCTCGGGGTGCAGAGGCCAGGGAGAGGAGCTCAGTGCTGTGACTCCTGGGTCTGAAACAGAAAGGACTGGGGGGCTCAGACGTCTGTCTAGGTCTGAGAAGAGAAGGGGGCTGAGGACTCAGCCTCCTGCGTCTGAATGAGGAGCGGGAGGATGTCTGGACTCCTACATACAGGGATGAGAGGGCTTGGGGCCCGGACTCTGGGACTGAGGGAGGAAGGGGGGAAGGGGAAAGGGGGGCTGCTGCCAGTAACCCCCAATAGAAGCAAGGCAAGTCTTCTTGGTTAGGACACCTGAGGGCGGGTCGGCCCCGCCCGCTGTCCCCTGAGAGGGTGGGATCTGGGCAGGCAGGTTTGGGAGGCACCGTGACCTGGTTTCCCCTTCCTCTGGGGGCGACCGGACCAGCCTGACAGAACCCAGGAGGCTTGCTGCAATAGGGCTGATGGGGACACACTTCAGGCAGGACCGATGAAGGGCTCCGGGGAAATTTTAACGCGGTGACGGTTCCCTACCAGCGCTCCACCGCCCGTCCGTTGCCCTTCCTCCATCCCACGACCCAAGCAGAAAGCAGAAAGGGCTCCATGCATTTATTGCAAAACCACCCATTGGATCTGAAGAAACCCAGACTCTCCCCTCGACTTCACCCAGATGGTCCAGGGCAGGATTCAAACCCAGGACCCGCCCAAAGCAGGGCTGCAAGGGGTGGGACCAGACCCTTCCTGCTCGCCAATGGGGGAAAGCTATAGCACCCCTGACGTCACGGGGGCGGGGACTCTGACAAAGGAGGAGGCGGGGCCACACGGGCTGGAGTCCAGCGGAGACCTCTCATTGGGCAAAGTTCCGAGGGGCGGGGCTATTGCCAGCCTGGGGTTGAGTCACCAGGTGGTGCTGTTGCACAAGGTGGTAGTTCTTGCTGCCATCTTAGAGCTGGAATCAGGAGGCTACAAGTGTCTTCCTGCTCCATCCCCAGGGGGCGGAGCCTAAGTATCCAGAAGGCTTCTCTCCAGGACAGCTGAGGGCACGGGTGGAGACCATGGAGGCTGGACCCCTCCCTACCCGGTGCCCCGCCCCCCGTCATCCAAGGCATGAGGGCTCAGTATTCCTCCATCGTCTTTCTGATCCAGCGCACGTAGTGGCAAACGCTACTATAGACGGCGGGGTGCCGAGGTCGGGAGCAGGGCTCTGAGCCCCCAGACACCACACCAGCCAGAGTCCCATGGCAAACCAGGGGGCCCCCAGAGTCGCCCTGTGCGCGGGAGAAAAGCAGAGAAACGGTTAGGCCCGTCTCACGACTAGTATGACATCACACAGACCACCCGGTTTCCGCTCCCCTGACACCCAGACATCCAGGTCTCCAGACCCTCCGCCCTCAGACCCAGGAGGAAAAGCTCACAGCCTTCACCCCTCCCTGGGACCGAGCATTCTGGGCCCCTAGCACCCTCTTCCCCCAGGACTTGGAGCTCAGACCCCCAACTCCCCCCTTTCTTAGATCTATCAATCCTGGTGCTGGCACCAGTGTCTTAGCAGGATCCCCACCCTCCACCTCCTTCCCAGAGTAGATCTCACCTGACAGGAGCCGCGGCCCCCCTCCCACAGGCCGGCACAGAGCATGCGCTTGGAGATTTGGCCGGGATATGCCCGCCGGCAGAGTCTGGGCTCCAGGATGCTGATGTTGGCACACTGCAGCGTGAGTGGGTACTCCACTGTTGGGGAAGGAGGTCACAGAGGATCAGCAGCTTTACTCATCTCATTCAGCATCCTCCCTGTCCATTTCTTTTTTAAAAATCTATACTAATAAAAGGGTAATATGCTAATTAGACCGGGAGACCTTCCGGATGTCCTTCTGGACAAAGGCATGGTGGCAGGGCTGAGGCAGAGGCGGTTAGGGGCGATCAGACCAGCAGGGGAGGGTAGTTGGGGGTGATCAGGCCAGCAGGGGGGAGGGGCAGTTGGGGGTGAGCAGGCCGGCAGGGGGGGCAGTTTGGGTCAAGCAGCCCAGCAGGCAGAGTTGTTAGGGGTGATCAGGCAGCGGGGGAGGCAGTTGGGGGCAAGCAGGCTGGCAGGCAGAGTGGTTAGGGGCGATCAGGCAGGCAAGCAGGTGAGCGGTTAGGAGCCAGTGGTCCCGGATTGAGAGAGGGCCTAAACTGGCAGTTGGACAGCCCCCGAGGGGTCCCAGATTGGAGAGGGTGCAGGCTGAGCTGAGGGACACCCCCTCCCCATGCATGAATTTCATGCACCGGGCCACTAATATATATGTATATATATATTTTCTTATTGATTTCAGAGAGGAAGAGAGAGATAAAAACATCAATGATGAGAGAGAATCATTGATTGGCTGCACCCTGGACGCCCCCTACTGGGGTTTGAGCCCCTAACCTGGGCGTATGCCCTGATCAGGAATCCAACTGTGACCTCCTGGTTCATAGGTCAATGCTCAACCACTAAAGCACGCGGCTGGGCTCCCCCTCCATTTCTTAAGGAGGATCCTTGGAACCACAGCATAAGATTCTCCAAGATAGAAACAAAGACAGTGGCAAAGAGACAGAATCATAGCATAGAAGGGGAATGGTTGTATATGAAGAAGGAGAAAGGGAGAAAGAGAAACAGAAAGATGCAGGGGGCGGGGGGGGGGGGAAGACACAGAGAGGCAAGAGACAAGAAGAGGCACATATATAATTTACATAGAAAATATAGAGACCATGCCAGGAGCTAGAAACCTCTTAAGAGGAAAGAAATTCTCAGAGGAGGCCATGAAGTAATAGAAATGTGCCCAGAGATATCCGGTGAGAAGGCTGTGAGTTAAAGGGGAGGAGACATTTATCGGGAGATGGTCATTGATACTGACAGAGATAAAGATTTAGAGATACGAGGTAGAGATAGAGGGAGTTACCGCATATAGAGATAGACATGGATATAAATATGCATATGTCCATGTATATAATGTGCAAAAATTACAGACGTGGATGCAAACTCAGGTGCATCCAGGGGGTTGGTGGATAAACCGGAGACTGTTGTGGTTTGGCCTGCAGGGGGCCACCTGCACTCTCTCCAATATTGGTAGCTCTTGTGGGAATGAATGTGAGTAAGAACCCTGACTGTTAGGTAGAATCTCCCAGGTTTTAGATGTTGGCAGCGACAAATTCAGACATTATTTTTCAAGACACTTGGAAAATCAGCACTGATGTGGGAAGATGTGGGAAGCCAAATTTGGCTAATAGGTCTTTGATTTCTGACTCTGAGAATAGAAGGCCTTATTTGGATTCTAAGATACATATATTTTTTCACATTTAAACGCCCCAAAATCAGGAGGTGAGTTCCAGTAAATGGTATCTCACAAGGGTCAATGGAACCCCCCCCCATTCTCAATAATATGAGAATAAATAATATGAGGTGCAATAATGATGCACCTTATAATGTATAGCATCTTAGATTTGCTGGAATATATGGGTGGAGAGATAGATCAATAGATAGAGGATAGACATGAAAGGCAGAGACAGAGAAGGAGGAGGGAGTTAGACCCACAGCGTGAGATGTAAGGGAGTGTGTCATGGGCAAGGCTGTACCTATGGGGCTGGACACGGCCCCCCAGCCTGAGATGAGGCACTGGGTGCCGGGGGAGACGCAGGTCTGGCTGATGTTGAGGGGCTGCACGGCAGGACCCAGGCGTGCCTTCCTGGGCAGACGGATCAGCATGATGTCGTTATTGTGGTCTTGGGCTCTAAGGTCCTGGTTGAACCCAGGGTGGGGGAAGAAGTCCGTGACCCGCAACAGCTGCTCTGGGCCCTCCCATTTCCAGAGGTGGTGCTCCCCGAGGCGGACCCACAGATACCTGCAGGGACAGACCTCAGGGGTCAAAATCCGTGTCCACCACGGTGTTAGGTGACTCTCCACACACTACGTATCCTCTCTGGGTCCCCATCATATGTGTGACCCAAGAGTGCTGTGTGATTTTAAGCCAGGCGCACACCCTCTCTGGGCCTCTGCTCCCCACTCCATCCCTTTGTCTGCCTGGGCATTTGTAACTCTCCTCCAAAGCTCACACCCTTCCCCAGGTCCGTGCCAACGGGTCTGCCTTCGTCATTGCCCCACCTGCTGCCTTGTTGGTGACCTGTGTCCCCTGGAACTAGGTAAGCACATGGGGGCTCCACCTACAGCACAGAAACAGCCCCACCCCTGCCCCCGCAGGTTTGGTGGCTTCTGTGAGGAGTGGCTGTTTGTGCCTTCCAGTGTGTTTGCAGGAGGTGGATAGGATATGGAAAATCCCCAACTCGGGAGTCAGCGGTGGCCTCGGGCTTTTCCGATCTGCCATATCTCTAACCCTCCAATGCGTTTCCCCCTGAGGTGTAACCTCGAGCCTTCTCACTGTGCTTCTCTTCACTTGTTCTGCTCTGGGGCCATGGCCTGGTCAGCTGGCGACGTTCTGGGGGTCTACATATCCATCCCATTGCACAACCTCCGACCTCTCACAGGAGGGGCCAGGCTGTTCCCGGAGAACGCTGGGTTCGAGGAGTGTGAGGTTATTTCTATCTCTGTGTCTCTCTGTCACTGTGTTGCCTCCGCAACTAGCCCTTTCCCCACTCAAACTCATACTTGCCCCTTCATCCCTTCCACCTCCACCCCTCTTTGCTTCTCCTTCTCTGTGTTTGGAGCTGAAATCTAGCCTGGTGTGCAGACCTTGAGCTGCAACAGGCCCCGTCATGGAGCAATGCATGATGGGACATTCCCGCACAGCATCCTGTAAACAATACCTGTGCTTCATTCCTGAAGAGCATCAGAACAGAGTGGACAGCTCCATTCCAGAGATAGGCAAACAGGATTTCTGCCTCAGGTGGATTCTATATGATTCCATTAGAATGCTCAGAATCTAAAGCTCTAGGATTCTAACATCCTAGGAACCCACAAATTCTAGATTTCTATGAGGCTAATGTTCTAGAATGTCATGAATCCCAAATTGTACTGTTCTAGATTTCTCTAGATCAAATATTCTAGGTTTTAAAAATTATCAGAATTAAATCTAGGACATAACAAGCCTAAAATTCTAATATTTTGAAGCAATCGCACAAGATTGTTATCATTCCAGAATTCTACGAAGCTATGACTGGAAATTTGAAAATCTAGGGTTCAAATAGTTGGAGACCCTAGAATTCTCTGAAAAGTGTGGGGATTTTAAGAATCTGGAATCATAGCATTCTGCCATATTAAATCCAACAAATTCTAGATGTTTATGAAGAGAACCTTCTAGAATTTTCTTGGTTCAAGATTCTGAATGTTACAAATCACAGTATTCTAGGACTATGAGTGTCTATATTTGATGAATCCAGACAGAAGACTCTGAATCTAAGATTTTAATATTGCTCTGTCCAGTACAACTAGTTCCGATTGAGATGTGTCAGACATGTAAAATCCACGTCCGGTTTCAAAGGCTTACACACACACACACACACACACACACACAAGAATAAACGATGACATTTGTAGATATTTAAACATTGATTACATGTCAAAGTAATATTTAAAGTTAAATCCATTATTAAAATGAAATCTTGTTTTTCTTTTGCAACGTGTCTACTAGAAATGTTAAATTTAAATGGCTGGTGGTATATTTCATCGCCAGCGCTGCTCTGGACTTCTAAGATTCTAGGATTCTCTGAGGCTCCTGTAGAATCTCGTCGATCCAAGATTTTAGGAGTCTGCAGTTCTGGATTACCCTGGGCCAGAGTCGAGGATTCTAAGGGTGTAAATTTCCAATCATAGACTCTTAGAACCAGATGATTAAAAACTCTAGAATTAGGAAAAGTTGACAAATTTGTAATTTTGAGTTGAACTTCTGGGAAGAGAAATAGAGGCTCAGCCCTTCTGGCCCACAGCTCCCTCCCTCCTCTTCCAGAGCCTTTGTCCACCTCACTCTTTCCTCACACGACGCCTTCTCCCCAGAGCGGTCACTCACGGCTTGTAGCAGTGGGCAGCTGTGAGCAGCCAGCGGTCACTGATGAGGGTCGCCCCGCAGAATAGGTGCGTGCGGAAGAAGAGGCCTGCCTGCCAGGGCTGCGAGTTGGGGTGGCATTCCTGAGCCCCAATGGCTCTGGTGTCTGCCCAGCTGTTCCCTGCGGGCAGGTGGGAGGCAGAGGGGGGTCAGTGAAGAGCAAGGTGGGAGGGCTGGGGGGAGAGGCAGAGACGCCTGGAGGGCAGGAGCAGAAGGCTGGGGGCATGAAGGGCAAAGTGGAGAGGCTGCTGGGGCCCTAGAGGGTCCGCGGGATAGACAGGGAGGATGGCAGGAGCCTCACCTGCCAGGAGAGAAAGCAGAGCACAGACAAATCCCAGCTGCATGACCTCTGGGCGCCTGGGTCCTGGCATCTGGCCCTGGTGTCCCTGCTTCTTTATGGTTCGCCATGCCATCTCCTTCCTCCTCCCTGGGGCCACCCTGTGATTAATTGGGGTTGGGAAATGTCACTGGGGGAGGAGGAAGCCCTGGGGCCTGGCCTGGATGCCTCGAGAGGGAGCCATACAGGGGGCTCCCCTGTTAGAAAGAGCTGACTGCCCGCTGGGCCAGGGCTTGACTACATGGGGAAGGGGGCCTAGGACATAGAATCCTCCTGGTGTCTCCAAAGAGGGGGAGCCCTCGTTCCCCATGACCTCCAGGTACCGGATCTACATGCAGGACAGCCAGCGGCCTGAAGGAGGATGAGGGTGAGGAGGAAGATCCCTAAGGCGGGCTCTGGAGTCTTGAATGACCAATGAACAGGAGCCCTGCACAGAAATCAGGCTGGAGGTGGGAGAAGAACCAGGACTCAGAGGCAAGAAGATGGGATGTGGCTGAGGTGGGGAAAGAAAAAGAAATCAAAGGGAGAGGGAGATAGAGACACAGAAAGATAGAGATAGAGAGAGAGAGAGAGCGAGAGAGAGAGAGAGAGAGAGAGAGAGAGGAGAGTCTCTGACTCTGACTGTTTGAGAAATACGGTCCCAACGGGATTCACACACACTTGCCATAACCTACTCCCTTCCTCACATCCTCACACCACGAGGCCCCCGGTGGCCCACCTGCCTGGAACCAGCACTTTTCCCTTTCTCTTATTATCCCCAGATCTTGGCTAAGTGCGGAGAACATTCTCTTGTCTTTTTTTTTTTTTCTCATCCATGTCCTCCCCTCTGTTGTCCTTCCCATCACCCCATTCTTGTTGCTTCTCTTCCTCTCTTTCATCATCTGATGGGCAGCCCAGGAAGGGCCAAGCCCAGGTCTGATTAATCACTGCTTCCCCAGAATCATCCAGTTCAGGCTCGACTCCTGGATATGTTAATTGAATGAGTGAATGTCTTTCTCAATATCCTTCTTTTCCTAGTGAACTCCTACTCATCCTTCAAGACCCAACCTAAATACCACCTCCTACAGGAAGTCTTCTGTGATTTCTCCAGGCGGAGTCCCTCTTTTCCTCCCCAGAGCACTCACCACCTCTTCCACGTGCCACGAGCCTGATTGACAAACTGGTCTGGGCTCCCTTTGCATGTCCTCACAAGGACGTAGCAGTTTGGAGCATGAATTCTGGACCTGAACAACCTGGATCTGAATCTTAATGCTGGCAATCACTAGGTGTGTGAACTTGAGCAGGTCCCGGGACGTCTCTCCGCCGAGGGCGTAGGGGGGTTGACTCACACTTGTGAGGATAATGTCTGGCACATTGTGAGTATTACACACCTGTGTCTGTCCGTCTCCTACAGAGCCCTGCACTGCTCCGGGGACTGCAGTTGTCTTAACTCCCTCTCCAGACAAGCAAGTCTGGAGACCAAGGACTGAATACCCACTATGCACTTAGTGCCATACTAACTGCTTTTAGAACGTCTTGACAGCTGCCTTTATGGACTGTGTACTCTGTACCTGGCCGTTAGGTAAGCATTGCATGTAGACCAGTGGTTCTCAACCTTCTGGCCCTTTAAATACAGTTCCTCATGTTGTGACCCAACCATAAAATTATTTTCGTTGCTACTTCATCACTGTAATGTTGCTACTGTTATGAATCGTCATGTAAATATCTGATATGCAGGATGGTCTTAGGCGACCCCTGTGAAAGGGTCGTTCGACCGCCAAAGGGGTCTCGACCCACAGGTTGAGAACCGCTGATGTATACTATCTCATTTACTTCTCACAAGAGTCTTTTTCATCTCAATTTCACAGGAAGTGGGGATGGGAATTAAGGTAGAGCCGTCAATGTCACACAATAAGTTATAGAAATACATTTCCTTCCAGAACTGGTGAACTCCTCCTTATCCTTTAAAACCCCATGCAGCCCTAGCTGGGTGGCTCGGTTGGTTGGCGCTTCATCCCATACACCAAAAGGTTGCCTGTTCAATTCCCAGTGTGGACACATGGTTGGGTTTTGAGTTCAATCCCAGGTCAGGGCGTTTAGAGGAGGCAACTAATTGATGTTTCTCTCTCATGTCAATGTTTCTCTCCCTTCCTCTCTCTCTAAAGTCAATAAAAACTTATCCTAGAGTGAGGATTAAAGAAAACAGCAACCCATGCAATGCCTCCTCATCTGTGAAGACATCCCTGACTCCTTTAAGGAGAGACCTTGCCACCTGGCCAGCGTGGCTCAGTGGTTGAGCATCAACCTAGGAACCAGGAGGTCATGGTTCAATTCCTGGTCAGGGCACACACCCAGGTGGTGGGCTCCATGCCCAGTAGGGGGCGTGCAGGAAGCAGCTGATCAATGATTCTCATCATTGATATTTCTCTCTCTCTCTCCCTGTTCCTTCCTCTCTGAAATCAACCATATGTGTGTGTGCGTGTGCATGCATGTGTGTGTGTGTGTGTGTGTGTGTGTGTGTGTATATTAGAGGCCCAGTGCATGAAATTCGTGCATGGGGGGTGGGGGGAGGGAAGGTCCCTCAGCCCGGCCTGCACCATCTGCAATCCAGGACCCCTCAGGGGATGTCCAACTGCCTCTCACAATCTGGGACTGCTGACTCCTAACTGCTCACCTGCCTGCCTGCCTGATAGCCCCTAACTGCTCCCCTGCTGGTCTGATTGCCCCTAACCACCTCTGCCTTGCCCTGACCCAGGACCTGGGCTTCCCTTCCTCTGGATGGCTGCAGGCACTCAGGACCTGTGCCAGCTTTGCCCGGGCCGGCCGCAGCTGCAGGAGACCATGGGCGGGTAGCTTCACCTGGGCCGCAGCCGTAGGTGCTGGGGCCTGGGACCTCAGGACGGGCAGCTTGTCCCTCTCCTGGGCCATAGGTGCAGGCGCTGGCACCTGGGACCACGGGGTGTGTGGCTTGCCCCTCTCCCAGGCCACAGGTGCAGACGCAGCCACTGGCGCACGGGAGCATGGGGGGGACGACTTGTCCCTCTCCCAGGCCACAGCCTAGCCGGTCCCCATTCCTCTCTCGCGAGCTCATTTGTGTCTGGCTGGTCCCCATTCCTCTCTCCCCAGTGTTGTTTGAGCCATGGCGGTGTGACAGCGTGACAACGTGATGACCATTTGCATATTAGCTCTTTATTATATAGGATATATATATACACACACACACACACACACACACACACACACATTGCCTGGCCAATGTTGCTCAGTAGTTGAGCATTGACCTATGAACCAGAAGGTCACGGTTTGATTCCTGGTTAGGGCACATGCCCAGGTTGCAGGCTTGATCCCCATTAGGGGGTGTGCAGGAGGCAGCCAATTAATGATTCTCATCATTGATGTTTCTATCAGTCTCTCCTTCTTTCTTCCTCTCTGAAATCAATAACAATACATTTTTTTAAAAAACAGAAGAGACCTTGGCCCCTCCTCGGGGCACACTGTACCTTTTTCTCTGACAGCATTGACCGATTTATGTTATTATTATTTTTTTAATTTCAACGGTGTATTGCCCAGCTGGTGTCGCTCAGTGGTTGAGTGTCAACCTATGAACCAAGAGATCACGGTTCAATTCTGGTCAGGTCACATGCCCAGGTTGCAGGCTTGATACCTAGTGCAGGGTGTGCAGGAGGCAGCCGATAAATGTTTCTCTCTCATCCTTGATGTTTCTCTCTCTCTCTCTCTCTCTCTCTCTCTCTCTCTCTCTCTCCTTTCCTCTCTAAAATCAATAAAAAATATTTTAAAGAAATGTATTGAGTGGCTTCTGTGTACCAGGTACTGACTAGGTGCTTAGAAAAACACAAGTGAATAAATGAGACTCCCTGCCCTCATGGACTGGGTGGGAGGGGGAAGGGGACAGATCATTTGGGAGTAAACAAATAAATGAGATAGTTTCTGCTATGACAAGTGCTCCAAAAAAATAAATTAAAAATAAACAAAGCAATAGATTGGTGACTTGGGGGGAACGCCTTTAGCCAGGGCAATCCTGGAGGGCCTCTCGGAGGAGGGCACCTTGGCGTGAAGACCTGCATGCCCAGAATGTAAGATCTGCCTGTCGCCTTGACCTGCGTAGCAGCTCCGTGAGGGTAGGGCCCAGTCACCCCTGGGAACTGATGTAGGACAGGGTTCCATAAACTCTGGAGACATGACTAAAGAAACGGGTGAATGGCCTTTGAACATGAATCAAGGGTTCAAGTCCCGCCCACTTTGCTTCCGATCCTCCCATAACAAACTCAGCTGATGCTTCATTATGGTTTCCTGGGTGTGCTGATGGGAGCAGGGAGGAGTCCGTGCCAGGGACTGTGCACCAGTCATCTGTGGGGGCAGCGACCGTGTGGTCACCGCTATGTTCCCAGCCCAGCACCCGGCCTGCCATCCAATAAATGCTCAACAAATTGGTGTTTGAATGGAACAGCCTGTGCTGGATGGAAAATTTCTGTTGCTCATAGGGTCAGTTGATGTGTCCACTCCAAACACCAGGCTAAGTGGAGGTGCAAGAACATTTGCTAGCTTTGCCTGGACTCAGTATCATCCCCCCACACCTCCCCAGTCCCACTCCTGGCACAGGAATATTTACACGGAGACAGTTCCCGAGAGAGGAAATGAACCCTTCTTCCCACGTTTTCCAAGCAAAATCCCAAAGCCATTTCGGGAGTGGGGTCTGGAGGATGGAGCTGGCCTTGGGTTATGGGCGTTGGGTGAGGGCTGAGAATGGAGACCTGGTGAGCTTGCGACTGCAGCTCTTGGTGGGTGAAGGGATGCCGTTGGATTTCACAAGCAAATGGAACCATTTCCCCTACATTTCAGCGGGCTTCTTTGTGGGGATGTAACACAGCGGTGAGGAGTGTTCCTCTGGCCTTAGAGGCTGGGGCGGAGACAGGGTGACGTCTCTTGGGTTCCAGTGGCCCCAGGAAGGCCAGCTGGTACCAGGTGACTCAGAGCCAGCCCGGCTCCTGCTGTACAGGACCAACTGGTG